TGGTCACTTAGAAAGCCCGTTAAAATAGAAAACAATCACCAAGAATTAGAGAGTGAGAATATATATATATATATATATATATATATATATATATATATATATAAGCTTGTTAAGATTAGAGAAAGGAAGAGTAGAGGTTTGCGTAATATTAGATGTATTTAAAGTGAGGATCAAAGAGTTCTAGTGACGACGGGGAAATAAAAGAGAGGTGGAGGAGTTACTTTTATCAATTGTTTAATCATAACAAAACAAGTGAACAAAATAGATATTTTGACCGTATAGTAAATGATAGGAACTATAGATTTTGTCGAAAAATTAGGATTAGCGACGTTAAAGATACTCTAAAGAAAATGAAAAGTGAAAGAGTCGTAGGACCGAATGGTATCCCTATTGAAGTTTAGAAATGTCGTGGAGATATAGGCTTAGGATGGTTAACTAAACTATTTAATAAGATCATTGAGATGAAAAGAATACCAAATGAGTTGAGGATTAGTACTTTAATACCAATATATATACAAGAATTAAAGAGATATATAAAGTTGTTCAAAGTTGCTCAAATTATCGAGGTATAAAACTTATGAGTCATACTATGAAACTTTGGGGGAGGGTAATTCAGCAAAGACTAAAAAAAAGATAAGTACATTTGAAAATCAATTTGGTTTTATGCCTACGAGGTCAACGATGAAACCTATACATATTTTTAGATGGTTAATGGATAGATATAGAGAGAAGAGAAAGGATATATATATGGTTTTTATCGATCTAGAAAAAGCGTATGAGAAAGTGCCTAGAGAGGTAATGTGGTAAGTGTTAGAAAAAAAAATATATCTAGTATATATATTGATGTTATTAAAGATATGTATGATAGAGTAACAACTAGAGTAAGAACTAATGAAGAAGAGACTAAACCGTTTCATATTACTATAGGTTTACATCAAAGGTGAGGTTTAAGTCCTTATCTTTTTGCATTAGTTATGGACCAATTTACTAAGCACATTTAGGATGAAATTCCATGGTGTATGTTATTTACTGATGATATAGTGTTAGTTGATGAAACTAGAATAGACATTATTTCTAAAGTAAAAAGACGAAGATAAGCTCTTGAATCTAAATGTTTTAGAATTAGTAGAACAAAAACAGAATATATGGAGTGTATTTTTAGTAAAACTAGGAAAAGAAGAGAACCTATGGTACATATTGATGGCAAAGAAATATCTAAAACTAATTATTTTTTATATTTAGGATCAATCATTAGGCATGATGGTGAGATAGAGGATGATGTTGTGCATCGAATTAAATCGGGATGGTTGAAATAGAGGAGTGCTTCGGGAGTCTTATGTGATCGTAGAATACCAATAAAGTTAAAGGGAAAAGTCTATAGGACGGTTATAAGACCAACTATGCTTTATGGGTCAGAATGTTAGGCACGAAAAAAATATTTAAAAAATAAGTATAGCAGAAATGAGAATGTTGTGATGGTCTTGTGGGTATACACTAAAAGATAGGATAAAAATTAGTGTATCTTTAGTAAATTAGAAGTTGCTCATATTGATGATAAAATGGGAGAAAATGGATTAAGATGGTTTGGGTATGTACAACGGAGACCGCTTAGTGCACCTATTAAAAAAACGAACATATTATAATTAATGGGACTAAGAGATCTAGAAGTAGACTTAGAATAATTTGGTTAGAAGCAATTAAAAATGATATGATTAGGACTAACATAATAGAGGAGATGACCCGTAGCAGAATTGAATGGAAAATAGGATTTATGTAGCCAACCGCAAACATTTAGGATAAAAGCTTGATGGTTGTTGTTGTTGTTGTTATATGCATATCGACTACATGATAAAACTGACCAATACCATCATACTGATTAAACAAACTAACTCTCTATAATAATTTCACTTCGCCATCTTATTTTGCGTATTTAAAATAACTCATTCATTATATATATTCCTCTATAATAATGGGAGGATCCAAGATTCACTATTCATGCTACAGTAAATTACTATGGTATTATTACTACAACACAAGCGGGGACTGTGGCGTTTAAGAATATCACTGTAGCATTATCACTATCGCTCAGGCGGGATACTGTAGCATTAAAAAATATAACTACAAACTTACAAAAAACTGTATTAAATAAAAATTACTGTAACGAAAAATAAGAAAATGAAGGTTGTACTTTGCACGGGGTGCACACTAACATTGTTAAAAGAGAAATATGGGCAAACGGAGGCTAGTGATTAGGGCTGAGCATGGTTCGGTCCAAACCAAAAAAACCGACCGAACCGATCCGAAAAAATCGGTTTTATGAGTGGGGTGGTTCGGGTCGGTTTGAAAACTTTTCAACCCGAACCGATCCGAACCGACCGAATATAGTGCAATACTACCTATTCTGATTTCAAACCCTACCCGACCCGTCCCAAAAGAGTCAAAGACTCAAACCCTAAACTCATTTTCTGAATCATTATGGGTTGAAAATAATATCATTATATCAGTGTTTAATGCTTCATAATCTCCTACTTTGTTGATATCTTTTTTTCTTTAACAGAGTTTGTTGTTTGATAAGAAGTTTGATGAAGTTGGACCGAACAAACCGAACCGACTTGCAACAGTTCGGTTCGGTTTTGATTTATAAGCGGTTCGGTTCGGTGTTCAAAATTTGGTAAAAACCGAACCGAACCGACCGTTGCACACCCCTACTAGTGATCGTGCCCTAATTGGTATCCCACCCCAGGTTCGGGTTCGTATCACACCCAACCGAATCGGTTCTTTAAAATTAACCCGACCCGAACAAATCTGCTTTCGACCCGACATTTTTCGCTCCAGCGGCATCAGCAGTGGTCGCCATGGGAAAGCACGGGAAGAAGCAGAAGAATCCTCCATCATCATCAAGATCTCGACGCTTCGCTCATTCCGACAACGACGAAGAATCTCTACCCTCATCCGCTTACGATCTCCCATCGCCCCAAGAACCAGACTCAGAAATCGAAGAAGTCGAAGAAGAGGACGAGGAAATTGATGGAAATCATCATACTCTGTCCAAGTTCGATCTTTACCAGAAATCAGTACAGGTTCGTTCTGGTTTCAAAGCTCAGTTTCTTGAAATTTTCTTTATTTTTTAATTTTTTTTAATTCCGAAAAATTTCCAGTCGCCGAAGGGGGATATAAGCTACTTGCAGAAGTTCTTCTTGATGTACGTTGGAGGTCGATTGCCGCTCCATTTGCAGGAGGATTTCTGTGGCACTGCTCTTTTGAGGTAGTTATTATGATTCCTGGATTAGTTTTTAGATTTAGGGTTTAGGGTTTTACTAATGAATGGAAAGGAAAATTTTGTTATATCGCTTTCAAATGTTTAATGGTATTGCATATTTTAATAGTATGTGAGAGATATTTGTAGTGAGGGATTCTGGTTATATTAGGACAATCTTATTGTAGAAATGGATAATGAACGAGAGGATTTTATACTACATTCAGAGAGGAGAAGATGTCATGATTAGTAAATACTATTTTAAATTACTCAAGAAAAATTTGATTATGGAAACTCGAGAAAGGACTTCCTTTGAATCAAAAGTCTCCACAAAGCGTTTAATATGCTGGGTTTTGTGATTTTCTTTAAATTAGTTACTTTTTAACAGAGTTTTGGAGTTACGAAGATGATAAATTCTTTTGTCTGAATGCTTGTTGACCTAGTAACCCTATTTGACAAATTTGGCAAACATTTAACTATTCCGTACTTCTATGTTCACTTAGGCTTCTTTTAAGTATCTTCGGCGTAAGCATTCTCTCTTCTGACTATGGATTGGACTCCTCACCCCCTGTTCCTCTTTACTTTTGTCATATGTAGAAATTCATTCTTGTTCACCAAATTCAGGGAACCTTGGGTTAGTGATAATAGATTATCCTGTAATTTTATTATGTATATGGTCTTTGGTGCATCAGAGATTGAATTATTATGATGTATTTCTTCAAACCGTATAAAAACATTGTCTGTTAGGATTTTGGATTATTGTTCTTGACCATCTTAACTGTGGCCTGATATAGCACAATCATCCTTGTCAAGGTGATATCTGTATTGTTTTGGAATCAGAGTGCAAAAGTGGTTTTAGCATACTGTATCTTCTGTGATTATGTTTTTCTGCATCATAACATATCACTACTTTATATATGCTTTTGCTTCCTTCAAAGATTCTATACCTTGGGTCCTTGACAGTGCTGAGTGGTTGCGAACTGACTCAAGAAGGACAGCTGTAGGCCTGGATCTGGACCTCGAGGCGCTGAGATGGTGCCTTGAAAACAATTTAAATAAGATTGGATCTGATGGTTATTCTAGGATCTTCCTTTATCACGGTAATGTATTGCAACCTCAGAAGGCTCATTTAGTCAAAGGCACAGTTCAAGATCTCACAAGGCTTGGGGCTTTAAGTGTTCAAGATGATAGTTCAGAAACTGTCGAGCTAAGTGTAGGGTCTAATTCTACCGTTCCAGTGATCTCCACCATGGAAAAGGCTATGTTGCCTTCCAGAGACATTATATGCGCATTCAATTACAGTTGTTGTTGCCTCCAAAGGCGGGAGGAATTGGTATTGTATTTTAAGCATGTTCTTCATTCCTTGTCGAAAAAGGGTGGTATATTTGTAATGGACTTATATGGTGGTACATCATCAGAATGCAAGTTACGGCTTCAAAGGAGGTTTTCTAACTTCACTGTAAGTTGGTTTTATTCAATAGTATTAAACTACAGTTGGAAATTTTGAAGAAACAATAGAATTTGTTGTTTGTCTGAAGGAGGTGCTTGCATTTGCATCTGATGATGCAATTTGACCTGGATGTCTTCTGTTTCATAAAAGAGTAAAGCATCATATTTTAAAGTTGCTTCTGGAATAAGGAAAATATAAACTGTCATCTGCTTTTAAGAAAAACATTTAGCAGCAGGATTTCTGAAATGTCACATTAGAATAAAATTCTTTCTTCTCATCAAATTGGATAATAGGACAACAATAAATGCTTGGTGCCACTTAGTTATTTGAATGCTTATTGGTGACATAATGTGCAGTATTTCTGGGAACAAGCAGAGTTTGATATTATAAATCGCAGAACAAGAATCAGCCTTCACTTCCAGCTCGGAAAGAAGCAGACACTAAAGCATGCATTTTCTTATGACTGGCGCTTGTAAGTTATGTGTACTTTTTGTTTTCATTCTAAGTAATGCACCCCCATAACCATCTCCAACTTAATAACATTTCTGTTTTTGATTGACATTGTAATATCTGACTCCCTGAGATGCATATTTAAGTATGTTGTCACCCTATCTTTTGTTTATCTATAAATGCATGCATGTAGCTTTACATGTTGCGACCATTTTTCTGTAATATATGTTGAAATCATCTTCTTGTATAATGTATATGCAATAGATGCTCCCCTAGGTCTAGTGTTATTATTCATGAGTTGGAAGTGTATATTTATCGGCTGAATATTGTAATCTGGGGCAATTAAGGTGTCTCTTAAAGCTCAATGGTGGAATAGGATAAATCTTACCTACCCCAAAGAAATAGGACACATAACCAACCCCTAAAGAATTGGACAAGAATTATGATCACCGTTCTGCTCTCTGTAACACAGGAGTTTCCTCTATCTGATTTTCTTATACCATTATCATTCTGTGCTAGTTTAGATGCTTTAGCTAATCTAACTCTGTTTCAAACAAGTACTTTGCTGCATAATGTAAAGTGAATCAAAATCATTCATTGCATCAAAAGTTTTACACTGTGGTTATGAGCTTAAAAGTACAACTCTTTCTACATCAAGTTTATATGCTTAACCAAGTTATATATCTTATGCGAAATCCACCTGTAAACTATGTAGCACAAACACTACTATTGTGAAGCATATCATGCTGGACACATGTATCTCGTAAAATCTGCCATGTGTTCGAGTCATGTCCTCGGCAAGTCATATCTGATGTAACATAGCTCACAGGATTGTTTAATTATAGAAGAGGTAGCCATAAATTGTTCAATTATAGAGAGAGGGAAGGAGGTTGGTTCATTTGGTTCTTTATTTTAATGATTGGTGCATACATCTATACTTATTGTGCTGGTTTCTTGTGCCATGCAACTAGTAGATAACACTAACAGAATTCACATTGCACTAGTGTATTTTCTCCCATTTTAGGAGTTTTTTTTAATTCTCCAAAATGATATCTTGTTTATACTGAGTATATTTAAAGAAACTGATGCTATCTTCCTCTTCTAGGTGGTCGCTGCCAGAAATTAGAGATTGCTTGGTTGAGGCTGGCTTTCAGTCAGTACATTTTTGGATCAGGGAGATGCCGAACACACATGAAAAGGAAAACTCTGAGGAATACAATGGCAAACATGACTCTAAATATGAAGAGGTGTCAACTTTCCAACAACTCGATGCATGGAATGCATATATTGTTGCCGTAGCCAACTTGTAGTATTTGGCATAGTTTCGCAATTCCCTCAGAAGTATTATTCAACTATTTGACATAGTTTTGCTATTCCCTCATATAGATTATTGTACCCTTTATTTTGCTTATAAACGAAAGCTGTCGTTTAAAGCATTTTGTCCTTCCAGTCATTTGATTACTAAGTAGTTTGACCCTGCTGAATCTTATACAAGGAAATTATCAAAAGGAGCCACGGCGTGTGTACTTGCCTGATATTACTTGTATCCTTTATTATTTTCTGTAAAGCAAATGTATAAATACATAAGCTCCTTTTCCAGTTCATTCTATCACAATTAGCAGGCTTTATGGGAGCTGGTACGCCAAGCTTACCCGAAAAAACTTACCGTCATCCTTATATATCTAAGAAAAAGAGCAAAAGCATACACGTGCATCCAGTCTGACAACTTCTCTTCTGCTTGCAACTCAAAAAGTTTTTCCTCCGGCTGAAAGTTTCAGAGGAATGATATTGCTTGGTCATTTAAACTTTCGGACATTGATCTTGTGTCAAGTGTTGATCTTTACAATTCCTTGTAGATTTCAATAAAATTTATGTTTGCATCATTCGGCATAAACTTATTTTGCCCAATGCATCCCCCATTTCAGCTAGTTACAACTTCTTCGTGCAAGGAGTTCTCTTCAGTTAGTAGTTTAGCTTCCTCATCCCATGTCTCAGCAGTGCCAGCAATGCTGGTGCTGGAATCAGTAGTATCACTAGTAAAAATGCAAAGGAAAGTATAAGTGCGAGCACAATTAAATTTCAACTATAGCATGTAAATGTCGATTTGTATTGCACAAAGAATTTATTAGTCATATACATGTGGAGCATGTATTATTATTATTATTATTATTATTATTTATTGTCAAACCCTACATAAGCATTTTGTTAAATGTGAATTTTATAAATCAGAAAGCAACTTACTTCAATGAGTATATGATCAATCCAGCTGTAACAATCGCAAATGCAACAAAATACAACCAATTTACCTACAATGAATTTTGTAGATGCAAAAGTCACCAATCAATAAATAGTGAAATAAATGACAAGTTAGTTTTCACCTAGTATCATAGATGAGATGTAACCTGTTGTTTATAAAAATAAAGACGAATAAGAACCGCCCACATGTCTGATGTGAGAAGGGAGAGATTGAAGAGAGTTGACCCGCTTAGCTGTAAAGCGACACTCATTAGTATTCAAAAACTAGGAATTATTAATCAGACTACATTGCTAGACTGAAGTGCTTATAATTCAACTATGTCCTCCATGTTAGTGTCGACTTTAATTAACTTCGGTATCAAAGATGTGCAGAGAACAAACCTTGAGAAGAAAAGGGACCAGTGCATAGAACAAAAACGATGCTGCTGCAAAGCCAGCAAACAAGGCAACCTGAAAATTTAAATAAACTCATGTGTCGGTTTCTTCAAAACCGATACATAAAAAGAATACACCTTAGCCAATACAATGTCATATCAAGTCTCATAGTTTTGTAATATACAAGTTTGAGATAATGTCTTCTCAACAAATATATGCAATTTAATTGGTTTTGGAAAAAGAATTAGGAAATATCCTTGGGATAAGACTGAAAATCTAGATCTACAGAGATTAAATTCTGAAAGCGTTCAGATGACAGATAACTTACAATTGTTGTAGACCACTGGACCGATGCTAGATCCTTCCTCTCAAATATAGATCTAAGAAGGTTATGGAATTAAAACAATAGAGGAGAACAGATATGATAGGGATAAACATGACATGTACACTTAAATGAAACATTGTTTTATAAGATTATAAGTGTATGCTGGATATGTAGGTTTTAATCAGAAAAGGCATAATCCTAAAATTCATTCTCGAATAAAGGATGCATTTTGATAAAGAAAGCTAAGGTGGTTCTATATGGTTGGCAAAAAATCAAGAGACTTCACTAAATACCAAAAGCACCTACTCCACCCACAAGAAACACAAGGCCTTAAGTCTTTCATTTATGCTTTCTGAACATCTAAACTTAAATAAACTATCAAATAAACTACAGTAGAAGTTTTTCAGAAATATGTGGTTATGCCTGAAATTGTTTGGTAACATACACATCTCAAAAGAGTATTTTACTTTTTACCATTCTCTTATCATTTTTAGTTACTCTACAAGCAACACAACTTAGGTAATTGGTTATCACTGAAGAGATTGGAAAGTAACTATTGATTTCTGGCATCAGAAGGAAAAGAGTGGACTGATAAGAATGTTAAATTGAGTCTGTACTTTCATGCTATCGAACAACTGAAAGGATACATCTCACACGCAGTAACTAGCACACCGAAGATACCAAGCATGGCAACCACTTCAACTCGATCTTTTTTCTTGACACAATATTCCTGCAATTTAAGAAAATAATGAAACACTGATTTATAACACGATTGTTACAATCGAATTTTTGATAGGAAATTAATATCAACAATAAACAAAAACACTACCTCTCCAACATTGCTTAGTGCATAACAAAATGTCCCCATAATTACTAGTGTATCACCCGAAAGAGGATTTCTTCCACCTACAAGAGCAAAACTCGTAGCGATCACTTGGACAACATACAAAAAACTTCTCACCACTTTTTCTAAGGATAATTACTGGAAATAGAAAGCCATCAAGTATCACATCCCATCTTTTAATATTCTATGCCAATGAACTATATTTTCTTCAGTAATAATTTCAATTCTCTTGAAAAAACTCTACCTCCTTGAGATGCCCTGGAATCTGAAAGAAGCACCAACGCAAGGCCTATGACACAAATAGCTGCACCAAAGAATTGCCATAGAGAATAATGTGTCTTTAAAATGAACCAGGTGAGGATTATGACCCACGGTATAGTCCAACAGTCGAGTAGCGTTATACTTGTAATGGATGAGTATTGATATGCCTTCACAACTGCAACATAAAATCTACATCAATCAAACCTTTCATATTGGAAAAAATCTAGCAAAGAAAATAGATTGTCAGTAGCTCTGAATATTAAACCTTAGGTTAACTTTAATCAAGAGAAGTAGGAAAACCGATCCTCTGGAATAGTTTGACTTTCAGTCCTTCAAGGGTTTCATCATCTCTAATTGAAATATTAACCCTCTCCTAATTCTGGGAAGTGTTTATTTTGAAATGAAATGTTTGTATGAGGCAATTCTTTTCTCCTAAAATTAGATTTTTGTTTTTCCCTTATTAGAGGAAAAATTTTGTTTTTCCCTTATTAGAGGAAAAATGGATAGGTCTTAAAGAGAAGTTAGGGGAATGTTCTCTAAGATGCAAGTGTTAGGGTATACGTCAACAAGAACGTCTCGAACGGAGACGCAATACACACCCAAATGATTTTGGAATCACAGAATAAAGACACAAATTCAATCACAGTACTCACAGATATAACGTGGTTCACTCTTCCGGAGCTACTCCACGGTGCAACGCCGCCCAGTTCTTTTATATTCCAAAAGAATTAGATCAAAGAGAACACCCTCTCTTGATCAATATACACTCTAAGTATTCTCACAAATCTTCTCCTTGATATTAAGAAAAAATGCTCTATTTTTCCTTTCTCACTCTTCTATAAGAGGAGTTGTTTCTGGGATGATTTTTCCTGAAGACTTTTGGCCCTATTTATAGTGTTTGAAAAATATTATGCACAAATAAAATATTATTGATGGGACCCGCCACTAATAATATTTTATTGATAGGATCCCCCCCCCCCGCCACTAATAATATTTTATTGATAGAACCCGCCACCTTTTTATTTTTCAAATATTACAGCAACTTTCGGTGGAATATTAAATAAGTGGCGCCCACCACTTAATTAAAATTCAACAATGGCTGCTGAAGGCTGATGGCTAACAATCTTCCACTTGAAGATTTGATTAATTATCAACCATATCTTCATATCATTCTTGGTTGCACCATCCAGATGTCTTGTATCTTTGGCGTCTTGCACGGTCCTCAACGGAGGCCATATGAGGCTGCACACAGCCTCACCTTCTCGAGTGGAACTAGCTTGGTCAGCATATCAGCTGGATTATACCTCGTATCAATCTTCACAAGCTTGAACTCGTTCCTGCTTTGCCATTTCCGTATGACATGGTGCTTCACGTTAACATGCTTGGTCCGAGCATGAAATGCATCGTTCTCTGACAAGTGAATGGCACTCTGACTGTCGCAATGGATGAAGTATTTCTCAAAGCTTACTCCAAGCGATAAAAGAAAAGCTTTCAACCATAGCAACTCCTTTGCTGCCTCTGCTGCAGACACGTACTCTGCTTCGGTTGTTGACAAAACCATAGTATCCTGCAACTTGGATCTCCAACTTATCGCTCCACCACCCAAGATGAAGATGTAGCCGCCCTTGCTCCTTCTTGAGTCTATGTCCCCGGCGTAGTCTGCATCACAAAAGCCTTCTAGCTGTAAATCCGCCCCGCCATACTCAAGATAATGGTCGTACGAGCATCTCAAATAGTGTAGAAGTAACTTGACCCGCACTAGTGTTGTTTCCCCGGATTGCTCATGAAGCGGCTTACAACTCCTACTCCTTGTGCAATATCTGGTCTCGTGCACACCATCGCATACATCAAATTCCCGACGGCAAATGCGTATGGTATGTTGGCCATAAACTCATGCTCTTCAGCAGTCTCTGGTGCTTGGGCTTCGATAGCTTGAAATGGCTCGCAAACGGCGAGCCCACCGATTTAGCTTTCTCCATGCTAAAATTTTCAAAAATCTTCTCAATGTAGACCTTCTGAGATAACCTCAGCCTCCGTGTTGATCTGTCTCTAATGATCCTCATCCTAAGAATTTGGTTTGCTGGACCCAGATCCTTCATCTCGAAGCACTCGGAGAGACGCCCATTGAGTTCTTTAATGCGGGCCAAGTCGGGCCCAGCAATCAACATGTCATCAACATAAATCAAAAGTATTATATAGGATTCGTCACATCTCTTAACAAAACAGCAGTGATATGTGTCGCATTTAAGAAAATCGTTCTCCTCCATAAAGTTTTCGAACTTCATGTACCACTGTCGCGGAGCTTGCTTCAGGTCATACAAGCTCTTGCGCAGGCGACACACGAGGTCTTCCCTGCCTCGTTCCTCGAAGCCCACTGGTTGATGCATATAGATCTCTTCCTCCAAATCTCCATAAAAGAATGTCGTCTTCACATCCACCTGCTCTAGATGGAGATCTCGAACTGCCACAATGCTCAACACAGTCCGGGTCGTGGTCAACTTGACGACGGGAGTGAAAACATCAGAATAGTCAATCACTGCTTTCTGCTCATAGCCCTTCACTACAAGCATTGTCTTGTAGCGTCTCCGTCCATCGGCTTCATCCTTGACCCGATAAATCCATCGATTGTGAAGGGTCTTTCGCTCTTTTGGAAACTTTACGAGCTCCCAAGTCCCATTCTTTATCAAGGATTTCATTTCCTCCTCCATGACAGACTCCCACTCATCCCGAGCTTTGCCGGTCTACTGGACCTCCTCATAGCTCTAAGGCTCACCACTGTCAGTCAGGAGAAAATAATTCATGATAGAAAGGTACCTCTCTGCCACCCTTGGATTTCTTGGAGCTTTACGAACTGCGATCGGCAGTTCTGCTGGAACCTGCTGTTGTGAATCCGACACGTTCTCTTGGTCTTAGTCTTCTATGCTAATTGATATCTCACCGTCGTCCTCACTGTTAGCAATATCAGAGAAAAGAGGGGGAGATAGCTGACTCTCACTCACCTCTTTGGTCTTGTACACAGCATTCTCATAGAATGCGATGTCACGACTGCGCACCACCTTGCGCGCATCGTGATCCCAAAAACGATACCTATACTTATCTCCTTCATAGCCGATGAAAGAGAGCTTCTTTGACTTTGAATCAAACTTTAACCGGTCTGCAGGATTAGTCATGACATAGGCGTCACAACCAAATACTCGTAAGTGCTCTAGTTCCAGTTTCTTTCGGGTCCAAGCCTTTTCAGGTATTTCATAACTGAGAGTCGCTGATGGCTCGCGGTTGATCAAGTATGTAGCAGTATTGACAACTTCGGCCCAAAAACTCTTGAACAATCTGGAGTGGATCCCCATACTTCTGGCGCGCTCTAAGATAATGCAATTCATACACTCTGTCACTCCGTTGTGCTGAGGTGTCTGGGACGGTCTTCAGTCTCCTAATCCCATGGGATGAGCAGAAGTTCTCAAACTCCTGGCTGCAATACTCACCTCTATTATCAGACTTTAGACACTTCAACTTATTTCCTGTTTCGTTCTCCACACAGGCAAGCCACTTCTTGAAGATGATAAAAACATCTGACTTATGCTTCAAGAAGAACACCCACAGTTTTCTAGTAGCATCATCAATAAAAGTGACAAAGTAAAGAGAGTTGCCAACATATGGGACTTGCATAGGTCCCCACACGTCGGTGTACACTAACTCCAATTTCTGCATTTATAAAGCCGGTCTAATCTTCTTGAAGCCCACCTTCTTCTATTTTCCTAGGATGCAGTCCTCACAGAAAGTCAGATTGATCTTGCTCAGACCCGGAAGCCTCTCCTGTGGCCATAATCTGCATCCCCTTCTCGCTCATATGGCCAAGTCGTCGATGTCAAGTCATGCAGTCGACGGATAATGATGATGATGCTTGTCCTGCGGCAAGCAGGTGGCCGATCTTCCCGTTGGCGATGTAGAGAGACTCCTCACGTTTGTCATGTGTCACCATCAGGGCACCCTTGGACACCTTCTAGCTTTCCTGTTCGAAGGATACTCTGTAACCGGAGTCGGTCAGTTGCCCGACTGATATAAGATTCCGCCTGAGATCTGATACATGTCGAACGTTGTTTAGTGTTAAGGTGGACCCGCCCTCTATCTTGGTGCAATTTTTCTTTTCGGAAACCTTACAAGGTTGATCATCACCAAGATAGACTGTCCGCAAGTCCTTCACGAACGATAAAAGCAACTTTTGTTGTAAGGTTGCACGGAAAGATGCGCCAGAGTCGATGACCCACGCATTGCTTTTGTCTTCTAAGGATAGGAGAAGCGCATCCGAATCTGTTTCGTGCATGAGATTGGCTGCACCGTTAGGCTGATCATCCCTTGTTGATGCTAGAACAGAAACTTTATAGTCCCGTACAAAATGATCATTCTTTCCACATCTAAAGCACTTTCCTTCACCGTAACCATTCGGATTCGGCCCTTTAGACTTCCCTTTAGACTTTGATCGGTCTCGTCGTCCCCTACCCTTCTGTGCACGCCCTCGTGCCTTGACATGTAGAATACTCCCACTGCTAGAGGTCTCAGTTCCTGAGACTTTGCGGCGAGATTTTTCATCCAGAATTACCCCAAACACCGTGTCGAGCTTCATCTTATCATTGTCATTGTCATTGTCATTGGTGTTGCTCACCGTCATTGGTGTTGCTCACCGTCATCACCAAATTCTCCCACGAATCTGGTAGACAAGAAAGTAACAGAAGAGCTTGGATATCATTGTCGAACTAGAGATCCACTACAGCAAGCAGTTGCACCACAGCCTGAAATTCGTTCAAAAAATCCGTCACGCGAGCTCCTTGCTGCATCTTTAGATTGAATAGTTTTTTCATCAGGTACATCTTATTTGAAGCAGACGGCTTCTCATACAGCGCCTCCAAGGCCTCCATCAACTCCTTGGTGGTGGTCGTATGTGAGACGTTGTAAGTCACATATTGGTGAAGGTTGAGCCTGATGGTGGCAAGTGCTTTACAACCGAGCACCTTCCACTTATCATCGTCCATCTTCTCAGGTTTCCCCTCCACTCATTAGAGGGATAGGAAGAGATCCTTTTGGTACAAATAGTCTTCTATTTGCATCCTCCAATACCTAAAATTTTGGCTGCCGAATTTCTCAATCCAAAGCCTATTGTCTCCCATGGCGAAAGATTCCGTCTTTTCACAAACCGTATTTGTGAATAGTAATAATACTTATGAATAGTACCGTACTCGTGAATAGTGCTCAGTACTTTTAAAGAGTAAATGATAATCTAACTTATTTTATGATGTGAATAATCCACTTTTAGTGACAGCCACAGAGCATACGATAAGCAGATATATATACTCTAAGTCAGGCTCTGATACCAGTTGTTAGGGTATACGTCAACAAGAACGCCTCGAACGGAGACGCAATACACACCTAAATGATTTTGGAATTACAGAATAAAAACACAAATTCAATCACAATACTCACAGATATGACGTGGTTCACTCTTCCGGAGCTACTCCACGGTGCAAAAACGACGCCTAGTTCTTTTATATTCCAAAAGAATTAGATCAAAGAGAACACTCTCTCTTGATCAAGATATATTCCAAGTATTCTCACAAACTCTCTCCTTGATATTAAGAAAAAACTCTCTATCTTTTCTTTCTCTCACTTTTCTATACGAGGAGTTGTTTCTGGGATGATTTTTCCTGAAGAGTTTTGACATTATTTATAGTATTTGGGAAATACTATGCATAAATAAAATATTATTTGTGAGACCCGTCACTAATAATATTTTATTGATAAGACCCGCCACCTTTTTAGTTTTCAAACGTCACAGCAACTTTCGGTGGAATATTAAATAAGTGGGGCCCGTCACTTAATTAAAATTCAACAATAGTTGCTGGAGGCTGCTGGCTAACAGCAAGGCCACAAACACATGATTGGGGGAAAAACTAGACTCCAAAGCATAGCCCAAACAAGCACAATAAGGTAAAAAGTCTTATAACAAAATTTAAAAGGGGAAAGCAACTTTAACATTTCATTTTTATGATATATTTCTCTAGTCTATCATAAAATACTTATGAGGTTGAACTCATACAATGTGTCATAAAGAAACTAGTAAACAAAAAAATTGCACTTCTTAAAATGAAAAGCCACCGGACTATTTTCAATTATTTCACAGTTGCAATAAAGTCGTGCCAAAAACTTTTACCATAAACAACGAGAAGAAATGAAATGTGTGCTTACATAGATAGTTTGCTTGTACATCAATGATGGCCAAGATGATATACCAATACCAAGGAACCTGCAGACCCAAAAACATTACAGTCATTTTCCTTTAATATCAGAAGTCGAAGTAAAATCTAATAATACTGACCAACTCAGAAATCAATAATAGTATTCCGAATTAGCCAAAAAAAAAAAATCAAGGATTACCATTAGTTTCTGCCGCGAAAACAACCCACTTCAGATTTAATTGCAAAAACCGACCTGGTTTTAGCCTTGGCGCTGAAACCAGGTCGGTTTTTGTGAAAAAACTTTCGAAACTTCACGGGAGTTGAACTCCCGTGAAGTTTCCCAGTACAAAAAAAAAATTTTGAACTACGAAACTTCACGGGAGTTCAACTCCCGTGAAGTTTCGGATAAAATTTTTCAAAAACCGACCTGGTTTCAGCTCCAGGGCTGAAACCAGGTCGGTTTTTGCAATTAAATCTGAAATAGGTTATTTTCTGCGATTAAATTTGTAAATAGGTTGGTTTTGAAAATTTGTCCAATGAATATAAGAGAGCTTTATATGATGATGGGCATTTGAGGAGAGATTTACCCAAATCTGCTATATAAGAAGAAGTGAAGCTAGCAACTGCAAGAAAGAGAGAAAGTAGCTGCCCCAAAATCAGCACAAGCACCAGCCTCCATTTCTGATTCCTGTCAGTTCCCATCACTGATTTTGTTTATAGTAAAAACCCAGAAAACTAAATGTTATATAGTGTCTTCAGACAGAGAGAGGAAGAGAGAGAGAGAGAGAGCTTTAGAAGAAGAAATACATGAAGACTGGTTGTTGAAGGGAATACACCAAGACTGGTTGTTAAAAGGAGCTTTAGGAGAAAAACTACATGAAGACTGGCTGTTGAAAGGAATACATGAAGGCTAGTTGAGGAGCTATCAACTTCTGTGTCCAATCAATGGGAGAGTACAAACAATTGGCAGTTAAAAAAAAGAGAGTAAAAGAGGTAACTTCACTTTTAGGAAAGCCCAAATTCTCAATTCATGAAAAGGGTACTCATCGCTCTGCCAAAAGATGGTTCTTTGCTAAAAATATCTGTAAAATTGAGGAACAATGACTTCGATCTAAACAAGCAACATCAATGGCAGAGACGTGTGCAAGGGTTGAGTAAACTTTTAAATATCAGTAGCCCATCTGCCTAATTTTGACATTTGTTGCCACACATCAAAGCAAAGAAAAGAACCTGGTTACTGGGTTAGCGGAATCAAGCTCAATGTCAAGGGAGATTTTGTGATTGCTGATGTTATTAGATAATATTTGGAGCTCGTCTTCGTCTCCAGCGAGCTCAAGATCCTCGGCCATTTCTGAGGAAGAGAAGAAAGCGGGATTAGGAGTGATTTTGCTGGAGTAGAGAAAAGGTGTTTGACTTGAGTGAAGGCGAGAGGGGGTAAAAAGAGAAGGGCATAGCAACAGATAGTTCGTCGAAGGGTATAAATGTTGTAGATTAATAAACAATTAAGTGTCGATATTAGGGGGTCGATAAATTTTCCCCATGAAGTGATTATGCAAAAATTAGGGGTTAAATGCAAAAACCCCTATCATTAATAATGCACCCATAAGAAAATAATCTTTTTCCTTTTTCTTTTGGAGAACCGTGACAAGGGCCAAGGCCCCTTAAGGCCCGTTTGGAACTTTTTTTTTTACCATGAAAATGAAGGAAAGCTGCCACAGTTGTCAAAACTGTGGCAGCTTTCCTCTTCTTTTCATCTCAAAAAACTAAAAACAAACGGCCCCTAAAAAGAAAGCTCTTGTGGCCCAACCCTTTGAAAAAATTTCCATGTGCTTTATTAAAGATAAAGCAATGAAAGTTAACAGGTTTGGGTGAAAGTTAACACAAAGCACCAAAGCACAAAGCAATGAAAGTTAACAGGTTTGGGTGAAAGTTAACAGACTAGGAGGAAAGTTAACATGTTCAGTTAAAAGTCAACATATAACTATGATAGTCAACAGAAAACCCTAAAATTTAACATGTTCTGGTAAAAAAACAGATAGATGTGATACTTAACACATAACTGGAAGAATTAACATGTAAACATTAAAGTTAACCTTTATTATTCGTCTATGCTATGGAATCTGAAATCACAAAAATAACATCACACAAAGCCAAAATTTAAAAAGAGTTTATTAATTACTTACATTTCAGTTAGAACTTTCTGTTTTTTTTCTTTCAAAAATAGAACATTTATAATAACAACAACTTGCATATGAATCTCCATATAACCACTATTTCGATTATGCTCTAGTGTGCACTTCAAATCATCTTCATTATCAACAAAAAAACTCAAATTCGGGTGCCTCTCAGATTTATATATCAATGATAAAGCATTTTGAGATACTTTCAGTCTTTCAGACACATCAAATTTTAATTCAGAAAAGCTTGTTATAGTACTTAACATTGAGAATATAGCCTTCTCGCCTAACGCCACCATGCAAATAAAGTCACAAGCGTAAGAGTCTGGTGGATAAAATTTGGTCCTCTTTTCATGGGCAATATAGTCACTGTTGTCTCGTTATTGTCCTCATTCTTAGATGAGGCGGACGTCGGAGAAGAAGAACCACCGACGGGGGATAACAATGTAGAGGGGGAGGCGAATGATTCTGGAAGAGCCTTCTTTTGTCGTCGGATCCGAGGGACGCCGACGATGAACAACTTCGAAGTGGGTGTTGTCTCCTTCACCCTTCTTCGAATTGGTTTTCGGTCATTTTCCACTTTTTTAACAAACTTTTGAGGGATCTTGTGCAGGGTTGAGTTCAAATCTAGGGTTTTTTTTGTTCTCTTGAGCTTACATAAGTCTGAGCGAGAGAAGAGAGAGGGGGGAGAAAACGCGCATCAGTTTTTGGGTAAAGGGTTAAGGGTATAGGTTTGGGGGGAAGGTAAGGTTAGGGGAGAAGAAGAGGAGAAAGGAGCAGTTAGGAGTGAGGAGGAGAAGAAAGACACATAGAAGAAGAAGAAGAAGAAGAAGAGAAGGGGAGGGGTTATTTTCGAAACTTTTGGGGTTAATATTTGTGAGAGTGTGAAAATGGGCTATATCACAATTTATTGGTGCTTTTGGGGTTAAAGCATATGGGAAAAACTTTAGGGGGCTAGATCATAAGAGCTTTCTTTTTTTCTTGCCTTGACACATTTTTTCCGTTTCTTTTTTTTGGGCCTCGACACATTTTTCCCTTTTTTTTTGTATAGTCAAAAGAACGACTTTATACAGGAAAGTCAATGCAAGAAGGCTTATCTACCAGCTTCGTTGTGTTATACTAGTTGAACGATTTAAGTATTTTTGTTTCCTTCTTTTCCTTTTTTTTGGGTGCTTCACTAATACCATGAACAGAGTATAGGTAGAAGAGACATCATACGTGCATTTAATTAGGATTCGATTCTTAAGCAATAATCCAGCTTATGCAATTCTTATTTATCAATACCCGTAATTAGGCCTGTCCATCGGGGCCGGGCAAAACCGGAGCCCGGACCCGGGCCCGGTTGCCCCGAACCGGGCCGGTTTTCTTTGTTTTTTAAACTTTTTTTTTAAATTTTCAAAAAAACAACGCAAAAAATAAACACAATTTTGATAAAAAAATTATTTTATTAATCATTTATAATTATGTAATTTACAAATATAAAAATTATAGAATTTAAAATGATATAAATTAATTATACATTTTATAGAAACAAACAAAATTAAAAAAAAATTGTAGAATTCAAAGAGCCCCAAGACCCAATCAAAGACCTTTAAATATATATGTTGTGGATAGGATTTGAACAACTCCTAAATTTTATCACTAGACTAAGTAGCCCAAAATATTCATGTCATTCACATATTATACATAAACAAATTGTAAATACTTATAGAAATTACATAAACAAATTATATTATATATTTCTTTCCAAACTCCTAAATTTTATCACTAGACTAAGTAGCCCAAAATATTCATGTCATTCACATATTATACATAAACAAATTGTAAATACTTATAGAAATTACATAAACAAATTATATTATATATATATATTCACACCCCCAGCCTGATGGTGCAACTCATTGGAGTAATCCATCGCTTGTTAGTGTGATGCCCCAAGTATAACATTGTCTTTTGACGGACACATTTGCTTTTGGGGATGAAGAACCTTGTTGATATTCTCGGGACGAATTGTTGTTACCTTTGAACGATCCAAGGTCACATCAGGAGTTACACATTTAGGATCATCCCCTTACGAGCGTGGAACCTTAACGGGCTCCTGGGTTTCAATACGAACCCCCAGGAAATCAATGCCAGGAGTCCTCTTGTGCATGATGCACGAACATATACAATGAGGTGCCCTAATTTGTTTGGAGGTGACAGAACACCTTTGATCGGCCTTTGGCTTGACGGGAGTGTTTGTACTAACCCTAGCCTGAGGAACTACTCGGGTTTTATCCATCGGAGCTTTGCCACGATCTTCGTGTGAAGGACCAAGATGGACCGCCGTCATAACCATGAATTTCAATAGGTCAACACTGTCATGAGACTTCTCTGGAGGTACGGGATTAACTAGAATAGGAACGAGGATTGACGAAAGCCAAGAAACGGCTACGGGAGGCGAATTAGGCACGGGATACCTTGAGGTGACTCGGGCTTGGCGCGAGTCACCTTGGAGTGACCCGCACTTGGCCGAGTCAACCTAGAGTGACCCGCGCTTGGCCGAGTCACCCTGAAGTGACTCGGGATTTCTGATCTTTTCAGCTGCTGTTGGAGTTGTTTTTTATGCCGTTTTGGACTTTAGCCTCCAGACTTAGCGTGGTTTTGGTGGTTTTTTGGCCACCTCTTCCTTCTTCATGCCTTGTGCCTTTTGCAAAAGGATACGAGTGTGTGTAGCACGTGCACAACGCCTTTGGATTCGTTCCTTCTGGGTTGAACGATTCCTTTTGATAAAGATCCATTCTTCCGTCGATGGCTTGGAGGATTTGTCAATAACACGTTGTTGAAGTGATTCGGTTGCTTGACGCCTCCTAGACTCCAAGTTTGCATAATATTGAACCCCGTCAACTTGTTCTAATGCCTTAGCGATTTAATGAGATTGGCGTTGGCGTCGTCTCTGACGAGCCCTCTTCGTCAGAGTTGGCGTACCTTGATTGGATAACTTCTTAATTAGAGAGGAGTCACTTGTACCTTTCATCAGTGAATATGCCTCCTTCAAAGATAATATCTTTTTGCATTTGCAAGGAGAGGATGATTTTGATGAAGACGAGGAGAAATATTCCTTGAACTTGGCTTCGTCGAACTCGTACTCGACCGGTGAATCAACCGAGATTTTGATCTTCGGTTGCGACACGATAGTCTCGACAACGATAACAATAGAGCAATTGTAATACATAAAGGGTATTGTAGGTTGTCTAAAAATCACTGCAGATGTAATAGAGCAATTGTAATACATAAAGGGTATTGTAGGTTGTCTAAAAATCACTGCAGATAGCTGATCCCCATCAAACACCGATGATAGAAGTTATAATTTGACGGCTTCCAGAAGGCTATAATTTAAAAACTTTCACGTAGATCGATGAATGTTATAATCTGACGACCTTCGTAACAACTGATGAAAGCTCTAATCAACAGCCTTCACAATCAACATCGGAAGTTGCAATCTGACGACTCTCATATTTTCAAAGAGCCAAGAAGAAGATTACAAGATGATGATATTTGCAACGCTCTAGTAAAAGATACCACAAATTGATGGTCTCTTCATATCAATACGCAGAGGTCAGACCTGCGTTTCAACATCAAAACGCAGAGGTCCTCCCTGCGTTGCAACATCAAAAAACACAGAGGTCCTCCCTGCGTTGTAACATCAAAACACAGAGATCTTCACTGCGTTGTAACATCCAAACGCAGACTTCATTACTGCATTTTCAGCCCAAAACGCAGAACTCAACTCTGCATTCCAGATCCAAACACAGAGTTCATTCCTGCGTCTCAGACTCAAAATGCAGAGCGACTTGTGTGTCCTTAGCCGCCAAAATATGCCCAACTATGCGTTTCAGTTCTAAAACGCAGAGTTCGGGCCCAGAATGCCATTTTTGACGTTTGACTCTTTCAAACATGAGCTGAACGGTTCCAAAATCGTTTCCCACGATTTGAGGAGATTACAACCCCACTTAGGAGCGAATTAAGGGGGCGGTTGCACCCCTTAATCCCCTATAAATACCTTAAAATTCAGGAGAGTTCAGGAGGATCTTTTTTGGGTAGATCAAGATCGGAGACCATTGAGAGACTTCTGGCATAAAATCTCAAAGGGGGAGATCGGCGTTCATCCTTCATCGACGTTCAACAACAGAGAGCTTTCATCCTGGGCTATTAACCGATTTTCGGTTTAAATCAACTCTTTTTCAAGAGTTTAAACTCGCTCTGAGTTATCAACTCGTTCAGAGTTTCAA